GATTTGTGATGATGATTAGTGGTGAAAAAGCTGAGTTACTGAGATTGAGGGTCCTGACACATCTAATCCTCTGCACTGGTATCAAGCGACAATTCTGCAAATACTGCTCTTCTAGCATTTCTCTGTCTCCAGGCTTGGTGGGGTTGTTCTCATATTGTTTACCTGCCACCAAGAGTATACCTTGGATGGGTTCAATGGAGAACATTTTGTTTATTCGCCTGGCTTCTATCTCTCTATAAGCGACTCACCAAGGCTGTAAGTCTTTGCTTTTTAGGCACCCCTTTCTTTAGCACACCTTTCTGCAGCTTGATAGTTGGCTAACTTCCTTCCGCGCTGTCTTGATCTTGGCCTGTAGTCCCCTTCTCCATGGAAGGTATACTGGTCCTTGTAGCTGTTCATCTTATAGCCAAGCTTCTCTGTGATCACTGCTGCTGTGGTATAGATCAGCTGGTTTCCGTGACGGTCCCAGTAGTTATTGTCCATAATGCTGCATTTGCCTTTTCTAGTAGACCTCTTTTCTGTTTATTGTTGTTTTTTGTTTCTTTGTTTTCTTTGTTTATTTTTTTACCACTACTGAGATATCTTCATAGAGTATATTTTCTGCAGTTGTACCACCTGCTTCATACAAACAGGTCATACAAGCAAGACAGTGGACAAAATGTGCACGTTGCAATAGGTGCGAGTCCGCTGCTTGCTTGAAATTCAAACCAAAAACCTACGTCTAAGCTTGAGGAGTTGATACTGCTAGAAACTCACTAGAAAGATAGTTGGATAATTCTGCGACTGCTACAGCATTGAACCAGGTAGTACAGGAAAACAAGATGGGGCAAGCTAGCTTCTTTTTCAAAAGCTGGCTTATATAGCTTTCAAAATCTTCAAAATAAAAGAAAGGGGATTGTTCACTAGTAACATATGACAGATGATTTTGCTCTCTTTGATCAATAAAATCAATTAAATAAAATTTAAAATAAAAATGCTAAAAAAGAGCTTTCAACTATACCCAGAGGCACATGTAGCCTCCTTACCTGCTTACCTTCGTAACTATAGGGAATAGGATACATATTGTCATATTATCTCTGAAACTGATACATTAACTTGTGTAAATAGTGTAATCTGTATCAGTTATATTAGGTGTGACTGTTGCAATGGTAATCTGTAAATATTTGAATGCTTTGCCACATTTCTAGTTTCTCAAGAACTGTACTGTTTTGAGTGGCAGCCCTCTTTCATAATGGCATTGACTTAAATGAGAATCTTTTTTGCACTTCAATTGTTTGACAGCTAATTCTACCTTGCTTTGTCTCTAAGTCTCTGCTCTTACACCACAGTGCCTTCTATCTCTCATTCTGACACATTCACACTCCGATCAGTATATCCAGTTAGTAGATGATCTGCTGTACTTCCTGAGCTACAGCCACCAAATGAATACTTTTCTTGTGCATGACATTAAAGCAAAGCTTTACCTAATTAACTTATACTGCTGTAAGCTTGCATGAGTCTGAGATTGTTTTTGGCCTTCAAATTTCCTTTGACTCTGCTGCAAGTTCAGAGTGTATTTTTGTTCTCTGTCAGTTCTAAATGTTACGACTTTGGACATCAAGTTCTCCCTTTATGTCTATATACAGCTTCTGTACCTATACGTACTGATTCCAGCTTACATAAAATTCCCTAAGTGTTCTGTTTTCAAACATCTTGCTGTTCTGACCTCAAGAATAATCTGGAAAACTTAAACAAGCCTTGAAGTTTATCCTGTTTGGTTTCTGTAAAGGACTCTGCAGCACTCAGCAAGTTCACTTCACCTTTATTTGTGTACCACCAAACAAACACATCTCCTCTCAAGGTGAAATGTTTTATAGTTAAATAAAACTAAACTAAAAAATATAAAAACATATTTAAGTCAAATTTTCTTTTAAAAAATCCCTTATTTTTGTGTTTTAATTGATGTGTTTCGTGAGACTTTGAATGTCTTTAAACTAATAAAAACTGGACTAAACCTTAAGATTTTCAAACAGTAAAAACTGAACTGAAACAGGAAAACTCACTCAGGGAATTAAATGAAACTAAACTAAAGTCTGGTTATTTCTGGTATTTCTGCGTTTGGTATTCAAACCCAGATCTGGATCATCAGACTAATTAGTGTGGATGCTGATTAGGCATCCACAGTATTGTTCTTCTATTCTTTCTTCTATTTTATTATTATTCAAAGGAGCTTGCAAAGAAAAGCGTCTGGACTTCTTTAAGTTGCTTGAAGACGTTTCACCTCTCATCCGAGAAGCTTCTTCAGTTCTAAGGTCAAATGG